TATATATAATCTCTGATTATATATAATTTCTTTAACTTTGAAGGGGCCTGAGAATATAGATGGACAACTACTAGCGCATTATCTGTTAGATCACAGGACCTTCTATGTGTGGACCCCTGAGCCAGGAACTGGCTGCTATAACACATGGCCTTAAGCAGCTTCCAGTTGGGGTCAAGGTATAAGACTTACTTAGCCACCTAAAACTGAATTAGTGAAGCGTTTGGATATTTGCTCTAGTAGAGAGCATGACATCAATGAACGCCATGTTGGAATTTCATGTTTTACATTGGATGGGCAGCAAAATGAGGACGAGATGAGTTGCCTAATGTGGAGCAGGAGAGCAAGGTCAAAGCAGGGCTGGTCAACATCGGTTTTCCTGAGCTTTTTAGCATTTAGTCATCACCCTCAACTACATTTTTTTTTCTTTCCTTCCTTTCTCTCTTCCTCTATGAGTTCAAAGGAGAAGTGGGATTTGGAGTAGTTATTGTAATTAGTGCTTGAACCCTGACTGTGCTGCCTACTTAGCTGTGTGGCCTTGGGCAAATAATTTACCTCTAAGCCTCAGTTTCTCCATCTGAAAAATATTGGAACTTTATAGGGTCACTCTGAGATGTAAGATACAAAAGGTCAAGCACAGAGATTGGTGTAGGAGGAGCTCCACAATGAATTCTGTTGCTTTTTTTTTTTTTTAACACTTTTCTCCTCTAGTGACTTTTTTGTACCCCTGGTGGGTTTTATTTTTTCTTTTGTTTTTATCTCCCTGTGGCATTCACTGACTTACTCTTCTAGCATTGCTCAAGACCCAAGTTGACCTCTGATTTAGAGTAGTTATTTCCTCTTTAGGCAAAGAGGAACTTTACTTTTAACATCTTAAGGCATCTTTTTCTTTCATTCTAACACAATGCTGATTTTCATAGCCCTATTTTATGCCTTAATATGACAACTTCCTGTTTTTTTTTAACCTAGTATTTAACTATTTCAACAAACATAGACTATCTTAATTAGCGTAAAGAGACTGAATAAAACCAGTGACTATTTTTCATGTGATTCTGGTTTGTGATGAGCTGTACTGTGCTTTGGGAATAGCATTAATATTTTCTTGCAATTTGAGTTTAATGATCAACAGTTTCCTGGCACCTTTTGGTAGATGTCAGACAGTAATATTTTGGACATGGCAGCCTGATTGTCATGTGCACAGTTAGAGAAAATTATTAATCTAATGGTTTTCCTTTTAAAGTCCAAAGAACTATTTTTAAAGAAATCTTCCCCTATGGTATATGCAGTTACACCCTTCAATTCTGTGAACACACAGACAAGTCTTCTGACATGTGACAGTGCTGAATAATACATCTGTTTTGTCACTTTCCTAATGTTTGATCTAAGTATTGCTATTGTCTTGTTTTCCTTACCATTAAAAGCTTTCTTTTGTTTGAAATTTTTTTTCTTTAGTTAAGGAATATACTGTTACTAATAAAAAACTAAACAGGAAACCCACAGGGGACAAAAGGATGTGTAGATGGTTAAGCTTGATGTCACACATATAAACAAGAGTATTTATAGCAAGGTTATTTTGTGTTTTATTTTATTTTATAGGATGAGCTTTATTTTTTAAATATATTTTTTTACTGTTGATAGTATTACAGATATCTCCCATTATTTTTTGAGGATGATCTTTATTTTTTATTATTGTTTTTAAAACATATTTTTATTGTTTTGTGTTTTAGCATTGATCATTTATTAATGAACATGGAAAGAAACCAAATCTCTTAATTCCATCAAGAGATTTACAGGTTTTAATATTTTGAATTCTAAAAAAATGTCCATATTCTACACTTTGAACAATTGATTTCAGAAATAATTGGTTTCAAGTGAATATTCAAAGTACTTAGTGGTTTTTAAATCTAGTTGTTCATTAGACACGCCAGGGGAATTTTAAAAATAATACTGATTGCTGAGTCTGCTTCCCCAGATTCTTCTTTCAGTAGAACTGAGGCAAGGCTACGGAGTATTTGCTGATAAAGGGCATTTTAGGGAATTCTAATTTTCTTTCTTTTTTGCCAGAGTGGGGTGTCTTATTTGGGAAACAATTCTACTATTAGTGCTGAGGAAGAGAAAATAATCAACAGGAGATTTGAGTGGAGGCTCTTCTCTGCTGAGCAAGAAACATCATGTACTTTTTCTTTATTTAATGTAAAATACCCCTTTAAGGATAGAATTTGGGCCTTGAAATTCTACTCAGTTGGTATGAACTGTGGGGAATTTGAGACAAATAGCTTTTGTAATTGGAATGCACACTGTGTTGTAATAATGTGGAAAGAGAAACAAAAACTTTCCTTAATGTAATGAGTTTCCATTATCTGCTTGATCTAAGGTTTACAAGTCTACATTGTTAGGATTTATATTGGGGAGACAGGGGGTGTCATTTGCTGTACGCATTCCTGTCCCAGCAACTTTCTCTCCAACCTCTTCCTCTCTCTGTCTGCAACATCAAAATATTTGTTGTCTGTACTTTTCTTTCTACACAGTGGTTTTCTTATCTCCCTTCTCTTGGCCACACTAAAACCACTTCCAATACCACATTGTTAATGGAAGTTCACACACTTATTGGGTTTTTCCTTCTGTAGAACCCTTCCAACTCCTCATTGTTCTTACCAAAGAAAGAAGATGAACTCTGAGATTACTTAAGACCCCCCTCTTTTTTTTTCTGGTGGAAGTAAGCACAGAATGGAAAGATCTCCCCTTTCTATGGATAAAGTAAAACTGCATTATGTTATTTTTCAGCTGAGTTATTTCATCATGTTAAAACATCAATAAAAACAAAATAATTAGGTTGACTCTTAAAGCAGGGATTTTACCATATAAAAGCTAATTAAAGAACTCTTCCTGCTTGGTGTTTAGGTAGAATAAATTCCCTTTAATCTCAGTTTGTGTCACTTCCTGTCTCTCTCTGAATAGTAAAAAAACACACACACAAGAATGTTCTCATAAATGTGTGTCTGCCAACAAATTAATGCTCCACAAAGAGAAACTCTGCCCCAAATGGCAGCTTCCAATAACTGCTCTGATTCAAATCACAACTCTCATTTTTTTTATCCCCTTCCCTTTCAAGGACAATATTTGCAGATGTCATATTTGCTTTTTAAAACTCTCTGGAGTTTTCATTTAAGATTCTAAAAGACTGGTGACTAAAACTACAGATCTAGATAGTGGGAAAACTAATCATCTAACCCTTCTGAGATGTGTTAAAATACACCGTCCCCTTCCTCCTCTTTGTCCTTTTCAAAGAAAGAAAGTTCAATATGAAACCAATTCAAATTGTGACTTTACTCAATGAGATGTTTTACCTTCTTTCAGACGTTTCATACCGAAGTTTATAGAAAAAAAAAACAACCCTCTGTTAAAATAGAAGGGTTAAGGAATGTATTATTCATAAGCATAACGAACACAGGAACCTGTTTTTCCAGAAGAATCGGGTTGATTAAATCATTCACTACACAAGCCTCTCGTTATTTATTTTTGTCTTTAGAATTACAGTGCTTAGCTTTTGTAATAAAGTGGACTTGATACCCATATTTGGTATGGCAGTTGGAACTAACCAAATGAATTATTTCATTTTATAAAGTTTTTAGCATTTAAGGAATATAAACACTATCAGTTAAATGTAGCAAACTTGCTTTTTTTTTATTCCTTGGGCAATAGTTTGTAAAAAAAAAATCAAATTATTTTATATAACACTGCTTCTTACAGAGTTCCTTTAAGTGAAGTATGAAAGCTGCAGTGTAAGCTTTATTGGCCTATAAATATGTCATTATAGTTGGACTACATTTATATGCTTTGGATTGTTGTTTAAGCCAAGAAAATATGTCTCTACAGGTTGACTTTTTATTGAAACCCTTTGAGGCATACAACAGAATGTATTTTAGGCCAAGGTTATTAAAACAACATTTTCATTTTTTTGCAGCAGACTCATTGTCAATTATACTGCCACAAACTGTCTGTGGATGGGCAGTTATGAATGGCTTCATCTCCAAATGTGTCTTTAGAAAAAGAAAGAAAAGATAGAGGAGTCTAAGCTGAAATTGAGAAAAGAGACCAAAAGGTGTGGGTGTGGGTATAGCTGAAGTTAATGATGGGAGTTTCCTCGATTCAATTTCTGTTTCTAAAGTCCCATCAAATTGAGAAACAGTGGCTTCCCCTGTCCCTTCTGTTGCTGAGACTTTTACTGGACTTTGGGGAATGGACAACATGGTAATGTTGGAAGAGCAATGGATGGGATGTCAGGAGCATCTTGGCTCTACCTGTAGATCTGTCGCTCACTGGAGAAGTCACTGAATGTTTACACGTTCAGGTTCCCTGTGTGTAAAATGGAGAATAGTGTGTGCCTGGCTTTGTTTTATTTAATTTTTGAGATCAACTGAGAAAAAATTGGTATATACGAGAGCATTTAATACTGAAGTCTAAGATGATATTATCATCATATTATTATTACATAGTACAGTGTTAGCTTATCGGTCCCTTTTGAATTTCCTTAGTGATTTAGGGCGGGGTTTACTCTCATCACTATGTGCCTCAATAAGAAGGCTGTTATTAAAATTCTTCAGATCCTTACTTTTAGTTACATATCTATAATAATAAAAGCGTAATATGCTAAGTGGACCGAACGTCGTTCCGGACGAAGCTGGGGCTGCGAGGGAAGCCCGGGTACCGGGTGTTGGAGGGAAGCCAGTGCTGGCAGCTGGGGGAAGGAAGGCCTACTCATGCATGAATTTCATGCATCAGACCTCTAGTATTTTATAATATATAACATATAAA